AATGTTATTTGTAATATAGCAAGAATCGATAAATTTTTCTAATCAATGTATAATCGCTATTGTGAAGTTATACAGATTCCATGTGCTCAGCTATTTCAAGTATAGGCCTTTCCCTTAGAGGTTTAATTAATGTTTGCCAATTTTGAGAAATAAGGGTTGGCGGTGGCGATGGCTTAAAAATAAAAATGTATTAGTTAAAATGTATAATAAAAAAAGTAATCATCTTACATTTAAAAAACTTGAAATTCGTCCCATATCCAATCTGTTTGATTTTTTCAAATGACATGCGTTCAATGCTTGTGGCAACGAATTCCATTTCTCCGAACTAATTCTGTTAGATACTGGGCATTTTATGGTTAAAACAGGAGTGATCTGTGATTGCTGGTTTATATAGGATGTTTTTAAAATAGTGTTCGCAGATTGAAGGTTGTGGGCAATAAGTGGAGGCGATGTTAGATACTGTTGAAATTTGGTTCTACTCCCAAACGCATTTACATTTTGGAAAAACTCGTCTTTCGGGGATGATACCAAAGACACGCTTTGTAGTTGGTGGTTTGAAAGCTTGTAGTTCTGTTCTCGAATTATTGCTTGTTGTTGGTTTGGATCAAGGGTAAACCGTTTCTGGAATAACTGTTTTTTTTGTTGCAGAAGTCGATACTGGAAGAGTTGTTGTTGCAATGGTATTTTATGAAATGCAAGTGAGTTAACATTGCAGAACACGTCTGCTCCACTTGTCTGAACATACTGTGTTCCAGACTGGTACGTAGAATCAAATCCCTTTAAATTTTGACTGGTTGGGTTAAATATACTGCTTTTATTACTAAAATGTTCATGTTTACGATAAAAATGTTGATGGTTTTGTAAGTCCATTGATATCGCATTTGACATTGTAAGGAATTGGCTTTGCTTAAACTGAGAATTGTTTAAATCTTCAGTTTGCAAATATGGTTTATATTTTGAACTTAGAGACTTCGCTTCTTTTTGCAACTGTAACTCTATCCAAGCATTGTGCTTTTGAGCATCATAATTATAGCTACCATAAGCTGAATTGACGGTACTAAAATATGTCAGTGAGTTCATCATGCCTTGAGCAACAAAGCCATCACTTGCACGACGTCGTTCCCTTTATTTGTAATAACAGAAAAATAGAAGTAGTTAATAAAAACAAACAATTTAAAGAATTAATACTAAATTAATACTAAAATACATCTCACATCAACGAAGAGAAAGAAAGAAATAAAGCACTGCTTAACAAAACAATATTTGAGAATATAAAAATAAGATAGTTTTGTTTTTGCTGAACTTTTTCTATTCTTTACACAACTAATCATATTACAATTCCATATATCATTAGGGCTTTTCTTTTATAAGCATGTCGCCAAAGAACAAATAAAATTAGCATTACTCTCGATGGCAACTCTGGTCAGTATGAAAAATTTGTTAGGCTAATATATGCAAAACACGTAATAAAATTTTATGTTAAAATTTTGAAAATGAGTAATAACTCTTTGCAATTATTGGTAGGAATATTTTTTTTACATGATTGTGAATAAAATATGAATTTTTGTGCCTTTTAACATTAAATAATAAATAGAAAACGTAACGTATTTGTTACGAACAATGTAAATACACGAAATACGAATAATTAACGAAATCATTCGTTGACTGTTAACTGAAAATTTTGTATGTATTTCCAAAAATCGTTCACAATAGACGAATTTTTAGCCTTGGCAACCATTCGACTTGAGTTTCCAATGTTATTTTTAAAATGAACGGTTGCTCTTTTGTGATATGCTTACAAAAGAAAAGGCCTATTAATAGATATTTTAACATCTAGTTAATTACTGGTTAACTCCTGGTTAAAAATTTTAGTTACTCTGTAAATTCTTAATGATAATTTTTTTTTTTTTCGTGAAAGTAGTTATTATTAGTTGCAGAAAAAAAAAATTTGTTAAATAAAATATTAGTAGCATTAAGACATGCTTGGTAACTCAGTACAATGATTTTTTTTTTGTATATGCTTCTTTGAAATACCATTGTTAAAGAGTTAAAGAGTTTAAGCAACGGTCTGAGGCTGATTTCTGAATTTGCGACGCAAACAATATCGTGCATAGCACCTGATTCCCTCACCCCGATATTCACGAGAGACAGCCGAATTCTTCACTGCTCAACTCTCTACACGATTAAACAACCTCTGTTCAGTCCCGATAATGCCGATAGACAGTGGAAATATACTCCTTACGCACAACTACGGAAGATGTCCTACCTGAGGAATTGTTTAAGGCCGACGGCGATATGCTGATAGGGTTCATGCATCAGCTTATCTGCAGAATATGGTTGGTTGAAATTATGCCCAGCGAATCTCAGTACCTTTTGTCCTGTTTTGAAAAAGGACAACTGTACTGTGAGAAAGGTTGAAACCACATGACAACTCACTGATTGGACTTTATCAGTGGGGCTTTCGATCCGATCGCTCTACCATTGACCAAATATTGACACTGCGATTAATCTTGGAAAACGGCTACGAACATACCACCTTTTTATCAATTATAAAACAGCTTTCGATAACTCCAGTAGGAAAAGCTTTTACGTCGCAATGGGTGAGCTCGGCATCCCTGCAAAGTTCATACAACTCTGCGAGGCTCTTCGTAAGATCTTTGATCCCCTACATTTTGGCGACGACTACCACATTCGAATGAACCACGACCTGTACGAGCTTTATCACGACATTGATATAATTGAGTGAATTAACGTCCAGCGGATTTGCTGACTTGGTTGTGTCATGAGAAAATTTAAAGAAACTCCAGCGAAAAACGCTAATAGTTGGAGGAAGAAGGTGTAGAAGTAGACCGTGTCTCCTGTCGAGTGGTCGAGGGAGCATTGACCGGAGTTGATGTACTAGATAGTGACGTCTGGAGAGACATGCTGCATCAGGCCGAAACCCGGTAGCGGCATGTCATGTAAGTAAGTAAGTATTATACAACAAAACAAAAATAGAATCATCTGCTTTGGCAGTTTGGTTTTACCACTTTACTGAGAAAGAATTAAAAAGAGATTGAAAGCACAAAAAGAGATTGATAAAACAAACTTTTGTTAGAATAAATAAATTGTTAATGTAACATTGTATCAAACAAAAAATAACAGATTGCATATTTGTATATGTAGTAGACTTGCTTCATAATAATTATTTATTCTTGGGAAATATGAAGTTTACAAACTGGTTGTCACTTATTGACAAAACAAAAACAACAGTTTCGTCTTTGTAATTATTTAAAACAAGCTTTTAAATGAAAACAGGGTTTCAAAGTAACTACTAAACTTTTAAAAAGAGAACGCATTTTATAAAGAACTGTGTCTCAGAAAGGGTTGGTGTCATCACTTTATGTGATCTCGTTGTAGATTACCTAAAAGAAGGCTATAAATTAAATTAAATAAAAAAATTATAGTTAACACTAATCATTTTGTTTAAATACACAAAACATCAAAGTCATCTCAATAATGCCAAAAATGAATGCCACACCACCGAACGCTCCAGCAGGTGTAAGTGTACCAACAGGCTGCGGTGCGAAAAGAATGTGAAAGGAAACATCGTCTGAACACCAGGAAAGTATGGTATTCAAAAATTCAGTGGGTAATATGCAGCTATCAAATCATCACTTTGTTCAATAATGTGTGTGACTAACTAATTAAAACACATTTTTTTACCAAAATTCGTTTTTATTCATCAACATAGTCCTCTTTTAGGGAGATACAACCATTCCAACGCTTTTGCAATCTTTCGATACCGCCTTTGTAAAACGATTTTTCTTTGCCTTCAAAATAGGCGTTAGTTTCGGCGATTACTTCATCATTTGAGCCAAATCTCTTACCACGATGTATCTTTTTGAGGTCTGCGAAGAGCCAGTAGTCGCTGGGCACCAGATCTGGAGAATACGGTGGGTGCGGCAGCAATTCGTAGCTCAATTCGTTCAATTTTGCCATCGTTTTCATCGACTTGTGACACGGTGCATTGTCTTGGTGGAACAAAACTGTTTTCTTCGCCATATGAGGCCGTTTCTTTGCGATTTCGTCTTTCAAACGCTCCAATAACGCTATATAATAGTCGCTGTTGATGGTCTTCCCCTTCTGGAGATAGTCGATGAATATTATTCCATGCGCATCCCAAAATACAGACGCCATAACCTTGCCAGCCAACTGCTGCGTCTTTGGTCGCTTTGGGCGGCTTTCACCGGCTGCATGGCACTCAGCAGACTGCCGATTTGACTCTGGAGTGAAATGGTGGATCCATGTTTCATCCATCGTGATGTACCTGACGCAAAAACTCCGACTTATTGCGCGTAAACATGTCCAAACAGCTCTTTGAATCATCGATTCGTTGTTGTTTTTGCTCCGGTGTCAGCAAACGCGGCACCCATTTGGAAACACTTTTTCATACCCAAATGTTCGTGTATTATGTGTCACTCTGCTGATGATTCGATACTTTCACTTTACGGTCGGACATAATGATTTTCAGTGTTTTTTCAACGTTTTCCGGAATAACAGCGTCATTTGGCCGTCCAGTAGATGGAATGTCATCGGTGTCTGTACGACCACGTTTGAATTCGGCATACCAATAACAAATGCTTCTTTTTGATGGAGCAGAGTCCGAATAATGTTTTTCAAGCCATTCCTGGCATTGAACAGTATTTTTTTCATTAAAAAACAATGATAAATCAGCACACGGAATTGCTTTGAATTCATTTTTTTTTTGAAAACTCAAAAGTAGCGTCACTTGAAGCACTATAACTTGTAAACAAATGGTCGGATTAACATATGATTTTGACAGTAAGCCTAAAAAGGTTGCCACTTTTGAAAAAAAATATTTATTTAGTATTAGTGCCGTCATCTATGTGTCAGTCACATACATTATTGAACGAAGTGTTATTAGATGATAAACTCAAAAATGTGGCCACAAAAGCAGATCTGGAAAACATAAAAGCAAAGATGGGTAATATAAACCATAAAGTTGAAAACGTGGTTAAGGAGAAAACCGAACTCAAAAAGGAAATAAAGAAATTAAAACGCGAGAGGAAACATTAGCAATTAGAAATAGACCGCCTTATAAGCCAAAGTAAAAGAAAAAATGTGATATTTAAAGGCTTAGAAAAATCTAACAGTCCAAAAAAAGCAGTTGAACTGGTTTGCAATCAGTTGTTAAAACTACCAGAGGTAAAAATCACGTCAACACAGATTATTCACACAACAGATGGAAAAATAAGCGTAGTGGCCGAAATGGGTTCTAATGAAATGGCAACACAAGTTTCTAAAAGTGTCAAAAATTTATCAGGACATAGAATAACAATACAGAGTGTCTTAGACAAGAAAAGATTACAATGCAAGAAAGCGCTACTGTAGTTAAAAGCGGATATCCTGAACGTAGACCGTAAGTACAGAGTGTATGTTAAAAATGATGCAATCAAGATAGGCGAAAAGTGATGCACATTTAATAAAGAGTTTAACTTAATGTGTGGAGAACAAACGACCTAAGACATCTTAAAGCATATGTATGGTAATAATATTAAGAAAATTACTTTAGACTTCAAGAATCTATTGGAAAAATCAAAAAAGTAGAAAATAAAATAAGTAAACAAATAAAAAAAAATATTAGCATAGTTTAAGTATAGTATCGTACAATATCAACGGATTAGAAAATAAATTAATGTTTCCAGGTTTTTTTAACTACATTAAGCGTTTTGATATATTTTTCTTGTTAGAAACTCATGTGATTGAAAATAAAGCAGAAAGTCTGAGTAAATATTTTGGTGGTTACAATCTAACATGGAAATATGCAACAAGAATTAATAATTATGGCAGATATAGTGAAGGTGTACTGCTAGCAACAGAAAGGGAATTGGCAAACCTAGGAATTAATTGTTACACTAAAATAATTCAGGAATGCCAAATAATATATATAATTTTCGGGCATACTCAAATAAATATAGCACATTTATACATAAGAAGCATAATCTGGACCGACGAATTTAGTAAACTGGAGACAAAATTCATGGAAAATGAAATTAAAGATCCTATTGTGATTGGAGACCTGAATGTCAGAATGGGTAAAATGCAAAACTACTTGGATGA